TCTGTTGAAATTTTGTTGGTGTATAAAAAGAGAGTTATGTAAATATAAAGAGAACATACAAAATAATATCGTTATAAAATAATTCTGTAATCAACAAAAGAAAAACAATAAGTACATAACGTTCCTTTATATAGAAATGTATATATGTTGCGCAAAGATTTATATAATTGAAATGTTGATTCATAATTCAGTAAATTTTTTCTCTCTCTGTCTTCTCTCTCCGTTGTTCTCATTTGTGTAGCAAAAAACAAGAATACGTCAAAATTTATAAGTAAAATTCCGAGACGTCATTCCATAAATTTACCTACAATAAATATTTGTATTGTTTGCTTCTTTTGCTGATAGTCAAATATTTTTGCTTATTCATATCCATAAGCAAGTACAGCAGCTGCTGCCTGCCAATGGTTGGTAAATAATTTATCAACTGGCTGGTTGGGGGTTTTTACTATTCAATTGCATTTTCATAGTTTTTATGATGTTCCACAGTCGCATTGACTCTTTATCCATTCGTATTTATATTTATTTTAAAGGTCTTTGCCTTTTGAGGGACCGCTGCACACGACAGCCGCTAGGGGGCGCTATGGTGTTAATGCACATTTTAATTGTTGCTAACTAAGCATTGTAATTTAGCTTTGTGTTTTAGGCTTCGTTGCATGTTGCACATGGAAATTGTTAGGAAATTGTTGTAGACCTGCCAAAGAAATGCGCTGAAAAAGTTTTAATTAACAAGCACGGCGAATGCCAGACGTGAATTCCAGGAAAGTTCAACTGTTGAAATTGTTGTGGGGCATGAGAAAACTGGTTTTTAGGTGATACCAGCCAAAAGGTAAGCTGGAACCGGTCCAAGCAGCTAGCGCGTCTGTGTTTAAATCAATCAGATTCCCGACTTGCCCTGCGCTGCGTTGCTCGTTCCACATACACACTCAAATACACCTACATATGCATATAATATGTATGCATCTTAACATGCCCCTTTTCGTATATCCGGTATGTGAAGAAATGCCCAACGGCGACGATAATCATCAAACTGGGACAAGCTTAATAAAAGCTGCAACATAAACATACATATACTACGAGACTATTGGATACACACACGCGGTCAAAATTCAGTTCAAAAATATCATAATTAAAACCAGTTTATATCGTTGCCGTTGTTGTTGTTATTGTTGTTGCGACCGCAACAAAACCAAAACAAAAACAAAAATTGTAACCGCATGCAGTTCAGCCATCCATGACAATGGAGCTGCTGGTGCACGCCCGCCGGCCACACAATACATTTGGGAGTTTTTAAATAAATTACCAACCAGCAGTAGTTCCTCGATACCACAGCAAGCAAGCCGCCAGCAAGAGAGCAACAACAGTAATAAAATACTTTAACGATACAACAAAGCATATCCAATTGAGCATATTTCCCATCTCGTTTATGTGATTTTATTTTTCGCCACCTCTGCATACACACATTCGTCTTAGGTGTATGGTATTGGCGCAGCTGACAGGCTGATACTTAATAATAATTAGTTTACATATTATTTTCCTTTTGAATAATAATGATACTCAAAGCACTTAAATGGCATGGGAAATATTCAATATAGATATTTACATTCAATTAAGCTATGGTATTTACGTTAACATAATTCTGTTCTGTTAAGTAAAATTTATGTTGTTAACAGCATGCTGTTAATTCTTATTTGAAGTAATCCAATTGCTGCTGTCTATAGCAATGTTACTTTGGTGGTGTGCGTTAGGTTGCGGCTCGCGTGTTCTCAGTTTGAGGTCGTGGGTTCGAGTCTGATGCTTGTCGGACAAAGACAGACAAAAACTTTAGGACTTTTATTTATAAATTTATGTTATGTTAAGAGTATTTATGATAATGAATGCCCCTAGGTTTGCTTTGGAAATTTGCTGCTCAAAAAGCAATTTCTTGTTTACATGGGGGCAATAGCAACACGTTTTGTTTCACTCCACGGAGGGTACGCGTTTACTTCATTGTTTAGCGGAGCTCTTCACTAGACCTATAAACGACATTACTATTTTTTTTTATTTATTTTATATATTTTATAATGTATTTAATATATTTAGTGTTCGTAATTTATGTATATTAATTATATTCATTCATTTTAGCTATAGTTGAATTCAAAGTTTTGATAATAATAAGCTCTTTACCGAATTCTTGTTCAGTTTAATACAATTGAAATTTAGCAATTTGTTTTTATTTTTTAAAGTTTGACTTTTTTGTATATACACATTGCTTATAAACTACACTTAATAAGAGTTCTTGTTTACAAATAAATTTTAGGATGAAAATGCATTGACAACGAAATACAACAAACTAGCAGAGTAACATTTAAATGTGACTATTGTTCGGCAGCACCATTAGTATTGCGCTTTTGTGTTCGTGGGGGACTCTCGGGCTTCTGGCTTCTATATAGGCTAAGTAACATAATTCCTCCTCGGTTTAAACGAACTCGTAGCCAATGCCAAACTGGAAACCATTCTGGGCTTTGTCAGTGGCCTGCTTTTGCAACGGGACACAGTAGTTCAGTTCGATGCGAGCGCGCTCCGCCAGCTTGACTGCTAGACCAATGCCATAGGCGCTGCGCATGTTGTCTGAAAAAAGAAAAAATTGAAATTAATTGAAAATATTCCATATCAGATTAGTTGTCTGCTTACCCAGTGAGAAGGAATTACTATTGCCCATATTGTAAAAGAAATGCATGCGAAAATGACTAGCCAGGCCCTTGAAGACGCCTGCAAACGGCAGCGGCGTCCACAGATGGGCGCCCGTGCACCAGAAGGTCTGCGCCCCGATGGGCGTGCCATCGATCACGGGTCCAGCGCAGCCGTACTTGAAGCCACGCAATGTCAGTGGACCGCCACAATAGAATAGATTGCTAATGGGCAGCACTGTCGTCTTTTTCGTCTCTCTGACGACGCCGACCCGTCCACAGAACTGGGCCACCAAGCCCGCAAATAACGGAACATTCACCTCCCCGTGCGCCGTGCTGCTCGTGTACGCAACGTTACCACCCAGGCCGCAATACTCGTTCACAGACTTCAGTAGAAGACCACGCGTGGGGAAGACGCTGGCATCCCGATTGTCAAAGATTAGTGAATAGCGCACCAGCGATGCCAATTTGGGTCCACAATGATCGCGTATTCCGAACGGCACCGATTTGTTCAACAAGCTCAGGTCCCTGATCGAGTTCTCATACTGCAGCGAGTGTGTGAGCTGATGGTTAAATAGAGAAACATTCAATTAGTATATGAGAAGAAAGAATGTTAATCCTATAACAGCTTATATATGAGTGGGAAATTTTAGTCTCTTAACAGCTTTTAAAAAAGTGAAATGTTAAAGCGTATTTTAGAAGCTTTTATATGAAGGGAAATGCTCCTCTGTTAACTGTTGAATTGAGCAGCTTGTATATGAATGCTCCAATTTGATCTCTTCTGTTAAAGCTAACAGCTTGTATATTATTGGGAATTCTCTTATTTTAGCTAAAGCTAGTTGATACAGCTGTTAGCAGCTTTATTTTCCTTCACAGGCAAATGTTAAAAAGCATTAAAATTAGTTTCTAGTTTCTTGGACTATTTTCACAGCTTTCTGTCTGTGTCGATTACATTCACTAAACCACTTTCTATCTATTACTGATTATCATCCTAAATGTTAACTTACATCAACGCCTAGCATTGTGTGTGCGCTAAAGTCCAGTAAGTAGCCCAAGTTGGTTGTCTGGAACGAGCTGATGTCATACCGATCTGTTTGCCTGAATACGCTGAACGATGCTCTATTTGGGTAGAAATTCGAAATGAATTTAAATCAATCAGTGTAGCTATTAGCAGGACTTACTCGGGTCGATTCTCGCGAAAGCGCGTGTGAAAGAAGGGTTTCCAGAACTTCAGCTGCAGATCGTTTGCTCTGGTGCTGCTGTAGCTGCCCTGCAGTGATATACTCTCGCCGCGTCCCAGTATATTCGGTATGGTCAGCTCGGTGCGCAGCGAGCCCTCGTTTTGGCCAATTTCAGTGCCCGCCGAGCCCATGATGCGTGTGAACTCTTTGCCCTTCAGCGTCACCTCATAGCCCTGTGGTGTGGCATCCGCACCTCTGCTAATATCTATGTGCACGCTCACATCCTTGAAGATGCCCAGCTCGTGCAGGTACGCTTTGGCTGCCATCGCCTCCAGCATCATCTCCTGAAAGTTGTTCGCCTTGAACAGGCCCTCGGCTGCTCGCATCACATAGTCATCGTGGGTGCGCTGTAATCCGCTCACATTCACCTTATCCACCCGGGCTGATATTTTGCTCAGGTCGTATTTACTGTTCGGATCCTTCGCTGTGGACATTTTGTGTTAGTGGGTTAATTCGTGGGGCAGATGTTGATGTGGGTGTTAACTGGCTGGCAACAACTGCAAGTGGAAGATGGATAGATTTACATGAGTATAAGTGTTCTACATAAAGAAAACATTGTTTGTTAATATGAATTGTTGTGTGACATTTAAGTAACATAATTTAAACGTTTGGCATTCAAATAAAAAATAGTAAGAGTATTTATGCTTGAATATAATAATTATAATAGTAATAAGAGAATATGTATAATAAAAATATACGTGACATAATTTACTTAACATATTTTTTTCCTAAATAATATTAACTATATAATTTAATAAAACATAGTTTAAGTAATAATCAATTCATTATTTTTAGTCATATTGAAAAGTTGTATTCTACTCTTTTCTTAAAGACATCATAATTTACGTGACATAATTTACATAACATACTTTTTCGTACATTTATTTAATTTATCAAAAATTAAGTCATTCTCTTTTATTATTAGTGTATGTATTATAACTATAATAAATGTGTTAACATATCATAATTGTCATAGAGACTTACATTAAAAAGAACATTATTTTAGTCCTATTAAATAAATAAAAAATTAATTAATTATCAAGTAATATTTATATATATTTACACCTAAACATATTCTCCTTTTTGCTTACAGATTGAACTAGAGAATCTCAATAGCGCTACGGATGAGATTAATAAGCTCGAAATCGAATTGGAGGTGATAATCGAAAGAAACCTTCAGTTGACACCATAATCAATATTTAAATTAATCATTAACAGGAGGCGAACTCAACGTTCCGCATATTGCTGAATGAGTCGACGCGCCGCTTGAAGCTCTCCTCCAAGAAGCTAGGCAATTGCATTGAGAAGGCGCGTCCCTACTATGAGGCGCTGGAGAAGTTGCGCGAGGCGCAAATCGAATGCCAGCAGGCGGCGGTCAAATTCCAGCGAGCGAATGGTGAGTGTGAGAATTCCATTGTTGGAATGCCTGCTACAGCAAGTGCTCTTTACAGAAATACATGCAGCTGCCAAGGAGACGGTGGCATTGGCCGAGCAGCGCTTCATGTCCAACTCTCACGAGTGGCAGTTCGACAATGCCTGGCAGGAGATGCTGAATCATGCCACACAGAAGGTGATGGACGCGGAGAAGCAGAAGGCCGACTGCCATGCCGAACATCAGCGACGCACGCGGCTCTTTCACTGTGCCGAACAGAAGCTGCAGCAGCTCGAGGATCGGTTCAGGCGCAGCATCAACAAGTCGCGTCCGTACTTTGAGGAGAAGCAGGTGTGCCAGGATCAACTGCAGACGCAGAAGAATCGCATCCAGGAGCTGCAGCAGCAAGTGAGCAATGCCAAAGCGACCTACTCGACGGCCTTGCGCAATTTGGAGCGCATCAGCGAGGATATACACAGGCAGCGCGGCGATTATCCAGCGATGAGCGGATCTCCGCCGCCGCCCGGGCCACGTGAGCCGGGCGTGGGCGCTGAGCTGAATACACCCACCTCCAGTACGTTGCCATCGCTGCCCGACTTCCAGCTGGAGCTGGAGAAGTGCGACTTTCCATCGATAGCGGGCAGCCAAATGTCGCTGGGCGGCGGCACAGCCGCCACGGCGTCGGCCGTGGAAACTGAGGACGAGGCCGAGGAGGACAATGTGTGCGACTACGATGAGAGCGGATTGGGCAACGAGCTACGCGGCGTGGTCGATGAGCGCCAGTTGGAGGCGTTACGTCAAAAGGTCAAAATACTCGCAGTGCGACCCATCGAGGGCGGCGACGGACAGCAGCAGAACGATGTGTGGGAGCACGAACTGAAGGCCACGGTGGACAAGCTCGATCATCTGATGATGCTCAAGGAGGCAGCGAAACACCAGCAAAATGTGCGAGCTAACTCCACAGAGCTACGCCCAGACTCACTGGGCGCCGAGGCACTGAAGCGCCACACCGATGTGGACGACGTGGACGCCAGGGATGTGGTCATCAAGATCAGCACTAGCGCCGTGCCCACAGTATCGATTACCCATAGCCTGCCCGTTACGCCGCAGCACCAGCCCGGCAGCAATGCGAGCTCGATCAAGAAGCTGCAGCAGCAGCTGGCGCCACTGCCATCCGTGAATGTGTCCATGCGGGAGCTGCCACTGCTGGCGCGACTCTCGAATGAGCTGTTGGATCGCAGCAGCGCTGCCATGGGCAGTGTGCGCAGGCAACTGCGACGCCGCTCTCTCGAATAGCAGCAGCAGCGGCAGCGACAGCGACTCTTTGAATCAAATTAATAGTTTGTTTATATTAAATGAATTGTGAAATGTCGTGAAAATATGGAGTGAAAATGAATGAAACGCATTTAGTTCACACACTGAGAGAATATTTTGAGTACACATACATGCTTAAATATTTAGCATAAATACATTTAGCATAAATATTACATCTATTTTCGTATATATTAAAATATCATAAATGTTTATTAAACGTTGAGTGTCCTGCATAATGTAATGATTGTCTCTCAACTTGTTAATGTATATCAAATAATTACTTTATGTCCTCTTTTTATGTGATTGAAAAACGAAAATTGTATTTTGTGTGCAAATTTCTAAAAAATAATGAAAGAAAAGAACAGGCACTAACAATAAGCAGCTTTAAGTTAATGTTTAAAACTAATGAAAACAAAAACAAAAACAAAAAGGAGAAAAAATTCAGAAACAACAAAAATAAATAACGCAACCTACTAATTAAAGAGCAAATGATAAAAATGGGCACATGCACTAAATAGTTTAGCCTAAAATAACACAAAATGGAATGAAAAGTTAAAATAAGAAATGAGAGAAATGCAAACGAAACGAATTCAATTAGCCGGTTAAATAATGTAAGGCAAGATTCTCAAATAGAAAATATTATGAAGAATAGTAAGCGCTAATTGTATGTCAATGATAAGGCAAACAATTATTTCCGCATACTTCAGAATACAAATTTCAATATATGAAACAAATAAAAATGTAAATTTTAAATTAACCGCTAAAACTGTCTTTTTCTTAACAACAAATTGCAAACACTTTATAACAGCTGACTATAAAGCTGCTTTAAGCTTGACTCTTTTCCCTCCAAAACGAATAAATTTTAGTTTATTTTCTGTGGGTTTTCAGTCAAAAATAGCTAAAAATTGAAAAAACTTTCTAGCTAGTACAGCAGTTGGCTGTTTCCCTCCAAAATATATGGCCCTTAGAAGTCAGAAAGCTGGGCATATAAAATGTCATATAACACAGGCATATTTCCCAACTCAACACACACAAGCGTAATTCTACGCAAGGAAATCCTTGTTTATAAAAATTTGTTTTTGTTTTCATTTAAAACCTGTTTCGATTATCAATTAAAACTTTGTTTAACAGACATTAAATTGGCCCCAGTTTAAAGGCTCTTTCGAGCAGTCCAACTGTTAGGCAATTGCAGTTCTGGGCGCCCGTAAACTAATATTAAGTATGATGTCATTTGCTGCCTGCAGTGCGGCACACAAATCTATAAATGCAAAACAAACTTGAACGCAAAAAAAGGCCCAAAAATTATGTAAGTCCACGCATTGTGTCTTACCTGTTTTACTGCCACTGCGTTTGTTGGCCACACGCGACACTCGAATTTGGTGAATTTCGTTACGAATATTGTATAAAATATAAACAAACTGAACGCCGTTATTTTCAGCTTAATTTTTAACCAATTTCTTTCGACTTGAACGGCACGCGTGCGGCACCAAATAATAATCAACTAGAGATGAGAGTTGTATGCGACAGATGTGCGTAAGTATTTGGTTAACTATCGGAAAGTAACAAGTTGCTATACACGCAATATAAAACAAAATAAAAACATTCAAATTTAAAAAGTTTTTACAGGGAAATTAAAGACTTTTAACATGTATTTCAAATAAAAAAATTCATATGTAATATTCATATATTATTATTTGTAAGAATTACAATGAAGTATTATGACATTACTCATCTCTAATTTAAGCAACTGCAGACAGCCTGTCTACGACTTCATGTGAATGGCAGTCAGTCTGATTTGCAAGTCAATTGCTTTTAACAGCTGTTTAAATCTCTGTTTCCCTCCAAAGTGTTTAGCAAACACAATGAATTCAAAAATCATAAACGAGAGAAATTTAAATGTAGACATGCACGGGCACTTATAGATATATTGAATTTCTTATTTCTTAGAATTATTGACTTTGGTGCACTTGATGCCATTCGATTGCAATTTTCGCATTATATCCATAGCAAGTTGCTTTTTTGGATCCACACCCCGGGTAGGACTTTCAACGGTGTTTTCTCGTGTATTACGACGCTTGACCTCCACGCCGCAAGCCCGCAGCTTGTTCAGTATTTCCTGTGTGTCGCCCCCTTTGGATGGACTCGTTGCTTGTGTGGTTGACTGGGATGGATTTTCAACTGCTGTTGGACAACTAGTTGCTACTGGTGCTGCTCCTTCTGTTGTTGCTGCTGCTGCAGCTGCTGCTGTTGCCCTGGCTGCTTCGGCAGCTCGGATGGCATCCATACGCCTCAAGTCCTCAACGATATTTTCCACAGTATATATTTCGTTTTTGATATTAGCTGTCATTGGGGGCATTTGTAAGGGGCCGCTCGATTTGTGTTGCTGCTGATTTGTGAGAATCGTGCGTGGAGTCTTGGGAGTGGAATGTCGCATTCGCTTGGCGGAGGATTCGGGCGACTCTGAATCCGAGCGCTTCGCCTTTTCGACATCTGCTGTTGGATGACGTGGGCGACTTTTGGCTACGTTTTCTTTGGCATTGGTGGGCGATTGGTGCGCCTTGTTGTTGTTGGGCAGTGGTCGACTCTCCTCGGTATACCAGCGCGGATCCTCGAGCTCGGCTTCCCAGTCAATATTACATTTCACACTGTTCACATGACGCACTGCGCTCGGCTCATAAATGTGCAGCTGCAAGAAATATTTACTTTATAAGTTTTAGCTTGTAGAAAAACCCTGTGGACACGCCTACCTCTTGCTTGCCATTGATCAATCTTGTCTCTCGTTTCGCTTCGTCGTAGTGCAGCTCGTTAATCGACGTGACTATGTGCCTGATGCCAATGCATTTGTTGAGATGCGACTGAAAGGTGTCCAGGCACAAATAATGACGCTGACAGGTTCGGCATATCAATATAAGACGCTTCTGCTGATCGTAGAATATTTCTCCGAATCGCACTAGGCGCAGGGATTTAGATTTTCTATTCCCGTTCATTTCTTTTTAGTTATATACATAAAAATGTATATATATTCTTATATACTTTCTTTTTTTCTTTTTTGGCAAATTAGCAAATTTGGTTGGTTCTTTGGTTTAAGCTCTCCTTTTGCTTTAAATACTGCTCACGTATTTCAATTCTCAGTTGGTTTTATTAATGTTTAAATATTTTGTTATTTTCTGCCTCTATCCGAATTTCAGTGCTAATAATTGTCAGATTAGTTTTGAATGCACCTGTATAGGTATTTTGAAATCAATTCTTACCAACACATTCAAATTCCATTTTTAATGAATGTTAGCTGGTTTTAACTTAGTTCGGTTATTGTATATTCTAATTTTATTTTCCAAGATTGTCAATTTGTATGTTCTGCTCGTAGTTAATTGGTGGTGGGAGACTGATACATGGAAATCGAGCTGCAGTTCGATATGCTTTCGATATACAGTGGCCGTGCGTGAATAATTAGATAAATGGCTCACGCGCAGTGTTGGTAAGCATTGACTGTTGGCTTTGGCGCGCATTTAAACTTGAGGTTAGAGCACTGCCAATGAATTTTCGTCTGTCAACTTATGTTCATTTGTTTGCTTTGCGCGCTTTCAACTTTTGTTAATTTTATTTGAATTTATGCAATTGCTATGATCTTGCATTGCTGTGTTTCTTTTACCTTAAATGGCAGTTGGCTTTTGTTGGCATTGATTAACGCCCATGCAATTGAAATTAAATCGCTTGCAAATGATTCGTACAGTTGATAGTTTTACGAAAAAATACTCGACAGCAAATGCCGCACCATTTGTTTGCCATTTTTTCACTCAGCTCTTGTCATATTACATACATACATATGTACACGGTCTGATTTTGATTCCCTGACTCCGACACTGTAGACGCAGGAAAAAAAAAGGAATCCCTTTTAATGTTTTGCGTGTCGCGGCACTTGTGCAATGTACAACCTTTTTTTTCTTTTTTTTTTCCAGCTATTCGCATGGGTCGTAAAAAGCGGTGCACATGTTTCGGATCACGTGAACACACACATGCACAAGCTGGAGAAAAACTTGGACCCATAATCACCTAGAAATCAAGCTTTAAAACTTGTGCCTCGTGTCCACTCAGTGTTGACATTAATGCTTATAAACTATTGGAACAACAGAAGCTAATATGCATGTTTTAGTGAGTTACACTAAGAAAACGACGATGGACGCCGCACGCACAGATGTAACGAGTCCGAAAGCAGGCAACACTTTTTGCTGCAGCTGCAATTGGATTTCTCTAGCATAAAGTTGCCGATGCAGTAGCATGCAATTAAGCAAGGATAGTCAGGCCGCTGCTGGACCTGGCAACTGGCAACTGCACCTACAGTCCACTACCCATTCCCATTGCTATTCGTATGCCCCAGGCCCCAGGCCCCATCTGTTGCCATTGCCGTTGTCGTTGCATGCTGACCATGCAAATTACGTTGCCCACAGACGCACACAGGCGCGCACGGCCACAGCCACGCACACGCACACGCACACGCACATTCACACATACATGCGAGTGCATGGGTACGCAGCCCTGTCACCGTTTGGTCGTGCGCTTGACTGATGCAGTGAGACAGGCAGGCAGCCAGGCCAAGAGTGAGCGGCTGATGGCCAGAAGCTAGTCCGCACCGAGTGCATGTACGGCCAAAGTTAAGTTAAATGGACTTGCGGTGCACTCAAGCAGCCAACATGCACACACACACACACGTATACATACATGACTTCAAGCGAATGCGTGCCTGTGCGTGTGCCTTTGTGCCTGTGTCTGTGTCTGTGAGGTGACTGGTCTAGTCCATGTCAAGGTAGCAGCTCGACTAGTAGATTAAATTAAACGCAGCAACATTGCAGCTGCAGCTGCAGCCCAAGGTGGAGCAACTGCAGCCAGGCAATGTAGAGGGACAACAACATTAAACGTGTTTACACCATGTCCGACCAGTTGATATGCCAACTGCTTTGAAATACACACGAACACACACACACACACAGACACACACAAGGACAGTCTGTTGGTGCGCTGGACAATAAACACTTGGAATGCCACAGCGTCGTTGTCAACTATTGCCACCTTTCCTATTGTTGCCGGTTTTTGTTTACAGTTTTTTAGAGAGGCGCGTGTGGAAAAAAATCACTGCATACTTTCAGGTGCAGCTGCTGTCATAATACAAAACAACGAATGGACCGGCAGGTGAAGGAAGTGGAGCGTGGCGGGAGGGGGCGGGCTCGCGAGCTGCTGTTTGTGCGCATTGTGCGCGCCCTGACTTTGAATTAGCCTTTGGCTTGCTGAGCTACACGTTGGCAGCGCACAAACACACACACACACACACACACACGCATACACACTCATACATACACAGATGCTTAGGTATACTACATTCATGTCAAAGTGCTGCATGGCTATGCAGGCTGCTGCAGCTTTGTCACAAATTCTCTGTGTGCTTACGTGTGTCTATGTGTATGTGTGTGTGTGTGTATGCCGTGGGGTCCAGCCAGTTTGGTTAGTTGACTTTTTAAAAACCATAGCACACACTTGTGCTGTCATTTGGCTGAGCATCTTGCAACAGAGCTGCAAAATATTGTTGCCCACTTGAAGCTAAGCACTGCGCACATCCACCTCTATTTAAGATTGTTGAGAAACTTTTGAAACTCTGGCGCACAAGTTATTGATATACCTCTCATTGACGGCATTATTATTGGCGAGAAATGGTTATATTTTTTGAAATATATTTCTATTATTCATTTTTGTAAGTCCTCCTGAGTATATCAGAAGGTTAGGCTCTATATAATATAATCTAACTGTGTTCTTAAGGTACTATACTTGCATTGTATAGATTCAACGCTTAAAATAAATATAACAAAACAAAAAAAAAAAAAAACATTATTATTTTTAAAAATTTGGTAAAATGTATGTATTAGGCAGAAGAAGCCGTTGCAGACCCTATAAAGTGAATATGCTTTTGAGCAGGGGAATGATATAGTCCGTCTAGTATCTATGTCGTGTCTATGTCTAGTCTATCTATCTATGTGTGAAAGTGTCGAGCACAGAACCTTTTGGAGCTAACTATATATAATTTTGTTGAAAAATGATTCAAACTCTTCCAAAATCGTCTCTCAATAAAAGGATTTGGCTTTAAATTAATTAAATGAAATGTATTTTAAAAGTATAAAACTTATGTATACAAAATTTTAATGAATATTTACCACGGTTTTTATTTTTTGTTAAATTTTGGATAACGTGCACAAATGCTATTAAATTCTCTAAAATAAAGCTCCGTTTTTTTTAGTCATTTTATTTTGTAGTCCCTTTATTGATATTCATATACATATATGACACACCAGACACATATTTGATGTCTCTAATCGAAGTCCCCATCGAAAGAGTTCGGCATTAGGACTTTGATTTATATAGCTCCGCATCTGCCTAAGCTGTTTAAGAATCAACGAATGCTCTTGTTTGTATTATTGGAGTATATAGATAGTATATAGATCCAATGATCGTCTTGGCTGCCTTTTTATACAGCTGATTGGGCAGAAGCATATGTAGATTTTAGCCAAGACTATCACTGACATTTTGGCCAACTTACAACTATTTTCGAGGCGAATCGCCATTTATGTGGTTGCAATAGCAATTCAAGAACTGGTCAATGCATTGCAATGCGATAACCTTGGCTAACAACTTTCAGTTTAGACTGTTTATTTCGCACTATGAAACACAATACCATCGGATAAAAAAAAAAAATAAAAAGAGAGGCTATTCAGATGCTGTTTAAACAGTTCACTATTTGCTTGCTTTAGTCCTCGTTTTGTTTACAGTTTTTAAGAAACGTTTTGCCAGTTGCTGCTTGCACTTCGTAAAAGGAACAACAACAAAAAAAGCAAAAGAGAATGAAAGCACAGAAGCAAAAAACAGCAAATGGCCCTTAGGCTGGCCGGCTTTCTATTGACCATACGAATCAAAGTTAACGGAAAACATTGCATTGCATTTTTCTGCTCCACCTGAGTTGGCAATGTCGTTTTAGCCATACGAATCAATGTCTTAATATTACGCTCATTTATTGACCAAGCGCAAACAGAGCAGCAGCAGCAAAAGTCAAGTAAAATTGCTAAAAACGCTGCAACTTGCCATGTATGTGTGTGTGGGTGTGTGTGTGAGTGTAAAGAAGACTGTAGAAAAATAGACAAATGCAGCTGCGCTCACTTCCTGGATGACTGCTGGCTATGGCTATGGCTATAGCAATGGCTTTTTGACTTTGCCATCGACATCGACGTCGACATTGACTCCTGCTCCGGCTGGGGCACCGGCTTTGGCAAGGCATAACAATTGCAGGAGATCGTCAATTTCCTGGCTGCCTGCAGGTAGCCAAGTTGATTACAAAGCAGTAAAATCAATAGGAAATGCAGTTAAATATTTTGCCAGCCGAAATAATTGCAGAGAACGAACGAAACGAAACGAACGCAAAGCTAAATCAAATATGAAATGTTCACTAGGGAAAGAAATATAGATAGAGAGAGAAAGAGAGAGGAGGAGAGAGTTAGACAGAGTAAAAAACATTTTATTGCCGCCTTCTGCCGCTGCTGCTGCTGCTGCTGCCGTTGTTAGCAGAAATTATTTAATTAAAAGCTGAGAAACTGAAGCTGCAAACTGAAACTGAAACTAAAGCCGTTGCGTCTGCTAGAATTTGCAGTTGGCCAAAAAGCAAAGACAGAGCGCCAAAACTTATGGCCCGGTGTGAAAAGTTTTGCAGGCCAAGCCCGAGCTTGGCTCAACACGGCCCGGAAAGAAAACAGGTGAAAAAGTTGCCTCACTCGTCTCGGCTGCCAGCTCAATGTTGGCAGCATTCAACTTGTTAAACAATTTTCGTATATACGAGCATTTTCGACAAGTTTGCGCTGTGTGCTGTGAAAAATCTTTAAGATATGCCAAAAGAAGCCCAAAACGTAAGCTTAAGCAGCAGCAGCAGCAGGAGCAGCGATGGCAGCAGCAGCAGGAGAAGCAATGGCAGCAGCAGGAGCAGCAATGGCGGCAGCTGCAGCAGTCAGCTTCAAGCTGCAACTACAGCGAGCTACAAGATACAGATACAGCTGCAGCTACTTTATGCGTCTGGTTGAAAAGTTAGGGCAGAGTAGCAGGAGTAGTAGCAGGAGCAGGGGCACTTCTTATAGATGGCTGTCTGCCTCAGCGTCTCTCTGTCTCTCTGTCTGTCCGTTTGTCTGTCTGTCTGCCTGGCTGGCTGGCTGGCAACTTTGCTAGACAATTTTTCTGCTACTTTGCATGTCAGTGCAAATAGTCGAAAAGTTACAGCGGGTAAGTTTTGCCAGTTTGAGCAGAGCCTCGTGTTGTCTTCGACATTTTGCAATTGAATTTCACACACACACACACACACATACACATACAGACACCCCAGG